TGAACATATTTTCATGTAGTGAAAAAAGATATAAGGAGAGGAGACAATAGCATGAAAAAAAAACAACTAGTATAACATGAATAGCATGTCATGTAGAGATTATGATTGTTCATACATGACATGATTAGGTATTTAGACTTTATCCTAGGATGAATGAGTCATCAAAGGTGTTTAATACAGTAATTTTGGAAGCAATGTAGACACAAAATAGGAGACTGCTGTGGGTTGAATTGTATCCGCCCCCCCAAAAGATAAGTTGTGAAGTCCTAACTTCCAGTACTTTAGAAGTGCCTTATTTGAAAGCAGTCTTTGCAGATGATCAAATTAAGATGAGGCCATTCAGGTGGGCTCTAATTCAATATGACTAGTGTCCTCATAAAAAAGGAGAAATTTGGACACAGGCACAGACATGTACAGAGGGAAGACTATGTGAAGAGACACAGGAAAAATGCCATGTGAAGGTGGAGAACTGGAGTGATACATCTATAGTCCAAGTAACTCCAAGGATTGCCAGTAAACCACCAGAAGCTAAGAAAGAAGCATGGAACACAGTCTTGCTCACAGACCTCAGAAGGAACCAACCCTACTGATACCTTGATTTTGGACTTCTAGCCTCCAGAACTATAAGCCAATAAATTTCTGTTATTTTAGGCCACTCCTTTTGTGGTACATTTTTACAGCAGGCCTAGGAAACTAATACAGAGGCTATTGAGTAGTATAGTCTAAAGTGATAAGAGAATGAATGAAGACAGTGATAGTGGGAAGTTCAGAAATGTCATAAATCTACAAGATATTGTTGAAGTAAAAGCCACAAGATTTAATGATTGGCAGAATACGCCAAAGGGGAAGGAAGAGTCCAAGCTGGATGAAGCTTTTATTGGGTCTTTTTTTTTAAATTTATTTATTTAATTTATTTATTTTTGGTTGCGTTGGGTCTTCGTTGCTGCGCACGGGCTTTCTCTAGTTGCAGCGAGCGGGGACTACTGTTTGTTGTGGTGCGCAGGCTTCTCATTGCGGTGGCTTCTCTTGTTGCAGCGCATGGGCTCTAGGTGCACAGGCTTCAGTAGTTGCGGCTCACAGGCTCTAGAGCCCAGGCTCAGTAGTTGTGGCACACGGGCTTTGTTGCTCCGCGGCATGTGGGATCTTCCCGGACCAGGGTTCGAACCCATGTCCCCTGCATTGGCAGACAGATTCTCAACCACTGTGCCACCAGGGAAGCCCTTTTACTGGGTCTTAATCAACTGAATGTAGTGTCTAAACTTCCTTAGTGTCCTCATTAGATCTCTCCTGAGGTCAGGGACCTTATAAAAAGTCCCATGCCTTTTCCCTTGGCTAATGATATCTAACCAAGCCTTACTTCTGACCTCTCATTCACATCTTTCTTTGGGATGGATTCCCCAGTTTTCATTCTCTTACCTTATAGCTATATCTGCTCCTCTACTCATTTCTTTTAAGAGGCTTCAGTTGACCTTCCTAAGTTCTTTTCCATTTTAGTTTTGCTCTGGATACTATCTCTTAGATTATCATTAGTTCTCTATTCTGCCACCTTTAGACCAATTCCACCTCTCCCCTTTATACAACACAACCCCCAGCCTCCAGATTCAGCACCACAAGCTTTCACATGTCTAAGGAACTGTGATAGATACTAATGCCATTAACCAAACTATAAAACACAGGGAAAGAAAATGGCAAGAAAGCCACTGAGTTCACCTCTACTCAGTACTCTATAATGCCCTGTAAGGGAAAAGAATCCAAAAAAGAGTGGATATGTGTATATGTATAACTGACTCACTTTGCTATACACCTGAAACTAACAGCATTGTAAATCAACTATACTCCAATAAAAAAAATTTTTTTAATTAAAAAAAAAAAGCCACTGAGGGACTTCCCTGGCAGTCCAGCGGTTAAGACTTCACTTTCCAGTGCAGGGGTTGCAGGTTCAATCCCTGGCCAGGGAGCTAAGATCCCACATGCCTCACCACCAAAAAACCAAAACATAAAACAGAAGCAATATTGTAACAAATTCAATAAAGACTTTAAAAATGGTCCACATCAAAAAAAAAAAGCCACTGAGTTCATTATTGGACATTATAAAGAATATATTTTTGACACAAAGGGAAGCCATTGACCCATCTTTTCTCCAGGACTGCTAATATCCCACATGCCCTATCCAAAACGATTGACCTGCTGCATGTTCCTGTTCCCCTGGCCATATGTCTTTGGTATGAACACCTTTTCTGAACTGGATCAAATAAATTGTTGTCTACAGAAAAATGGAAATTGGTTTCCATATGTGTCTAGATATCTAACTTGGAAACTGAAGCAACTATAGTCTTCCATACGGACTAAGCAGCAGGGAAAGCTGGTTTGCAGAGAGAAAATGACTAAGCAGATGTCAGAAAGAAAGAAATATGAGAGAGACAGAGACACATGCTGCCTGGGTTCCTTAGAGCTTTCCCTTTCCCAGTTCCAGCTGATAACAGCTGCATCCCAGCCTGTGGATTCTGTGAAAATACCTCTGTATCCTTATGATAAGTGCACTCATCTTTTACATCACCCTAACTAAAGCTTTTTTCAAAGAATCCTAACCAACACAGTTGTGTCGAGTCTGAAATGTGTATCTAACACCTAAGAGGAGAGGTAGTTGGAAATATGAGTTTGAATACAGAGCAAACTCAAATTTACCCAAATTTACCCAAATCATATGGATGGAGGACATATGATTTGGGTAAGGGAGTAACTGGAGTAGACAAGGTCATGAGAAACAGCTCACAGTGAAGGAAAAGAAGGGGAGAGTTACGGATCTCTTAAGAACTTTAATATATAAGATATGGATCACAGGAAGAGAAGTCAGTGAAGAAAGTTAAAAAGAACAGGAAAATAGGAGAGAATGCTTTTGTAGAAACTAAGAAATAAAAGTATTTAGGTTATACTTATAGAAAATTCCATCACCAGTGACTTAAGCAGGTACTGATTTACTTGCCTCAAACAACAAGATGTCCAGAGCTGGTACCACAGATCAAGTCCATCAGGGACTCGGGTTGTTCCTCTCTCTCCTATCACCATCTTTAGCATCTAGTCTTCACCTCTATGGTCACAAGATGGTTGTTACACCATCCAGGTAGGAAGGAAAAAGAAAGGAGACAAGGTGATGGGCAATAAGAGAGCCGGTCACTTATCAGAAAAACAGAAGCTTCACTAGAAGCACTACTTCTAGTAATGTTTCTGACCAACTCTAGTAGAGTTGGTGAGAAGTCTGTCATTTGGCCGTTCCTAACTGGAGGAGGACTGGAAGAAAGAGGACTGTGGTTTTAAGAGTTGGGTCAGCTAATCAGCTTTCATCCAAAGAGTTTAATCAACAAAAGCTACTGAGAGGTCAAGAAGAATAACTAAAGATAGATGATGGGGTAGGGAAGGAGCAGATTTGGTAGTTAGAAAGTCCCTGGCAACATTATCAAAAGCAATGTCAGGGGTGTATTAGGCATGGAGAGGGCTGAAGACTAACTGGTGGGTTAGAAATGAGAATAGAGGGTTCTTTTTTAATGTTTGAAAAGGAAAATAATGGAAAAAGCAAAAATCTAAAGGAGAGGCATAATGGAGAGATGTTTTGCTTAGTTTCAGGATTGTGGATACTCGAGTATGTCCACTGGCTGAGCAGTACAAACTATTAGCAAGGAGGAGATTTGAGGTATGAATGTTATGAAATAAAGATCACTGTTAGAAAAAAGTTTTAAAAAGATGGGTGTCAGGGGATTAAACACATCCTTCAAAACAATACCTCTTCCCCCAAAACAAGAAAGGAAGTAAGGATGAATAACAAAAGTGTAAGTTTGCATGTGGGCATGAAAAAAAGTGGAATTGTTAAAATTCTACTTTGGCAAAAACACACTTTAAAACTGTTTAACTTTTTTTTTTCTTTCTTTTTTTTTGCGGTGCGCGAGCCTCTCACTGTTGTGGCCTTTCCCGTTGCAGAGCACAGGCTCCGAACGCGCAAGCTCAGCGGCCATGGCTCACGGGCCCAGCCGCTCCGTGGCATGTAGGATCTTCCCGGACCGGGGCACGAACCCATGTCCCCTGCATCGGCAGGCGGAACTCTCAACCACTGCGCCACCAGAGAAGCCCAAAACTGTTTAACTTTTAAAAGACAAATCTTGAACTCACTATTAACCAGTCAGAAGAGAGGCATGAGAAAGGAGTCGATCTCGCCAAAATTCAACTGTGCTTTATTCAGATCCCTGACCAGGCATAAGCTAAGGAGAGACCGCTTCAGGATTTTTCCGGCATGTATAACGGAGACGGAAGCTCCCATCCTTCCGAGAAGAAAGGGAGGTTTTATGAACATCTCAACATTTCATTTCCTTTACTCTCCTTCCCCTCGCTGAAGGGCCCTAGAGACAATGGCGGCGATTGGCATTTTTCTCACTCTTCCGTAGTACTGAAAGCTGTGAGGAAGAAATGGTGGTGGCAGGAGCAATGGCCAAAGCCCTTGCTAGAAGTATCCAGAACTTTCTCTGCAAATATATTTCTATTCTGCTCTCAACTCCTTCACATTAGAACGCCTTGGAGGTGGCAATCAACAAGGCTAGAGAGCAGAAAGCCGCCAACAGAAATCTGGTTAAAGAACGGTGGTCACAGAACTGGTTAAATCTTTAAAAGAGGAAACCACACAGTGACCCAGGTTACGGCCCCCGCGTTTTCCAAAATTAGAGCCGGAATCGGACAAGCCCGCCCTGACGCCCGTAAGAAAATGATTCTCACTTTTCATTGGCTGACCCTCCAAGAGTTGAGACCTTGCTTCACTTTCATTGGTTGCTGCTGCTGTCACGTCCTTTCACCACACCCACTTTCCCGTCGGCGCCCAGTGAGCTTTGGGGGAAAGTGATTTACAGAGGTCGGGGGCGGGAGTCCGCAAGCAACTAGACTATTTCCCCCCACCCCTCACCACGGCCCCTGCTCCGCCCACTGGCCCGAGGGCCCGCCCCTGGCCCTGCCGGGCCCCGCCTCTCCCTCCAGAGAGGGCGGGGTCCAGGCGGCGGCCGAAGCCGCAGGAATATGCTGGAAGCCGGCAGGCGAGCGCCCGGGAGGTGCTGAAGGGACAGTTCCCGCCGCCTTACTTGCCCCGGGGGGGGGGGGGGGGGGGGGGCGGCCCTAGAGCCAGCTGGGCACGTGAGCGATGGAGACCATCTGGATCTACCAGTTCCGCCTCATCGTGATCGGGGACTCCACAGTGGGCAAGTCGTGCCTCCTGCACCGCTTCACTCAGGGCCGCTTTCCCGGGCTGCGCTCCCCAGCCTGCGACCCCACTGTCGGCGTGGACTTCTTCTCCCGCCTGCTGGAGATCGAGCCGGGCAAGAGGATCAAGCTGCAGCTCTGGGACACGGCGGGACAGGAGCGGTTCAGGTAGGGCCGCCGGCGCCGGGACCCCAGGGACCGCGCTGCCCCCTCCATCCGCCTGGGGCACCTTCCCCAAGCGTCGGCCGCACAGGCCAGTGTCGGGAGAAGCTCTGGCCCTTCCCTCTCGAAAGTGCAAACACTCCATTCTCACTTCCCCTTTGCCCCTCCTCTTCCAGGGACGACTTCCTCCTCCGCAGTTTCTCACTTCTTTCTTTGGCTCCCATTTCCTGCGTCCCCTTTCTGTCTTTCCTTTTCCCGCCTGAGCCCAGGTCACCCTCACCAGCCCCCTCTTCCGCAGCCCTCTACCCCTGCTAGTATTTTTATCCCCAACTCTTCGGCTCCCCTGCTGCCTTCTCCCCAAACTCAGTGTCCCTCGCTGTACACACCCTGACCTGACCACCCTCCTCCAAGCTCCCGTTTTCCTCCCCTGACGGAGCAGCTTCCCATCTACGCGGCCCAGGAGAACTGCATAGAAGCGTTCCCAGATTCGTGATTGATCCATTTAGCTTCACAGCAAGCAGTGCTCCAACCCAGATTACTGCATGAGCTCATTGGGCATCGTTCAGAGGGAGATGATGAATGCGGTAATGGTCTGAACACCTCACAGCACCGAATGTGGTCATCAGAAATACTGGGCCAGGACCCGTGGGAATGTGTCATGTACAGCAACTAGATGTAACATCAGGGACACAGGCACAGCAGAGGAGTTTTTTGTTGTTTTTAAGGGTTGAGTTGTCTTTAGAAGTTTGTCATCATTGGTGCTTTGGTGAAGAAAAGAGAGATGTACATACTGAGATTTGTTAGGAACTTTTCCTTTATTTTATTTATAATAGGTACTTAATGTTCCAGAGTGATAATAGATCAGAAAATACTTTTCTGCATAGAGAAGGAGGGATCCAAAACTAAACGTAACTTGTACGCATTTCCTAGATATTTAAGATTTAACCAGATATGAAGCACATTTTAAATTTCTAGGATTCAAGGAATTTAGAGGAAAGTAGGGACCTGATATATTGTAGTGTTTGGGGCTTTTTTAAGGTTGCATTATCAACTGGAACTCATTAAAGCAAGCATTTTGTAGTCTTCAGCAAGTAGTCTGTTTGTGAAATAGAGTACTTACTGACCGGATTTCCCAAACATGGCTTCCCCTCACCCCAGCCAGCATCCATTCTGAATGAGATGAGTCTACTTCTGTGAGAATGTTCCAACACTTTCAAGTTTTGGCTTCCATTCCCAGCTATGACACTGATTCATAGAGATAAGTGAACTGCTTAGCTTGCTTATACCATAGTTTTACAATGTGTAAAGTGGAAAGATAGTAAGGCCAGCCCTTTAGAGAAGTGTTAAAGGTTATTGATTTGAATTGTACAATACCTAGAATTCCATGAAGAAGATTTTTTTTCAAGAAGCCTCCTTTAAAATAATTTTTCAGGGCTTCCCTGGTGGCGCAGTGGTTGAGAGTCCGCCTGCCGATGCAGAGGACACGGGTTCGTGCCCCGGTCCGGGAGGATCCCACATGTCGCGGAGCGGCTGCGCCCATGAGCCATGGCCGCTGAGCCTGCACGTCAGGAGCCTGTGCTCCGCAACGGGAGAGGCCACAACAGTGAGAGGCCCACGTACCAAAAAAAAAAAAAAAAATTTTTTTTTCAAACTCTGATTCCTCATCTGTAAAACGGAGTCATTATGATCTCTAAGATTCATTGCAGTTTTACCATTATAAGGTAGACTGCAAATTCATTCACTGTGATCTCAATCAGAGATGAACTTTAAGATATTTCATGGTCAGAAAAAAACATTTACTAATAGCTCTTGCTATACCCTCTAAAGTGAAAATAATAAAAACGTGTTCTTTATACCTTAAACTTCTAGCAACTACTGATAATTGCAGCTACAAGAAACATAGGTAGTAAAATCTTCTTGTGTCTAAAATTCTTTCCTTAAAAACTTATTGACAAGAAAGTAAGGATGATTAATTTGTTAGATTTTAATGACCTTTTCTGTTAAATACATCATTTTTTTATTGCCTTTAAGAAGAATGTAAATTGATTTTATATACACTATTAAAACCAGACAGTAACTCTCTCATAATAATGCAAGGACATTTAGGGAATGTTTACTGACAATGAGTCATACTTTATTTTGCTTGGCTCTTTACCAAAGATGTATTCCTAAATACATACATATTTCAGTAGCTGCCTCCAAATACTTGCTTTTCTCTCATTTAGCAGAATGTTTCTCCATAAAATTGCATTTAAAACAATTAATGTTAAATCATTCTGTACCTTCCTCTAAGAAAATACAGATACTTATTTTGAGTAAGCACTTTTGTTTCATAGAAAGGTACTATATAGTTCATGAATATATAGTTCTGTCATTAGTTATAATTATACCATTAGGAATTAGAGGAAAACATTCCATTTGGAGGTTTATTGGTGATTAGATATAAACTAACAAAAAGAAACCTACTTTAGACAGTTCAGGATATAGCTTAAAAGCATAAACAAATATGTTACAGAACAACAAAATAGTGAGCTGATGATTATGACCATAAGTAGCCTTAGTTATCTTTTTTTTACCCAGCTTTATTGAGGTATAATTGACAAATAAAGCCTTAGCTTTCGAAGTTCAGATAATACATGCTAGTAGTCAATAACTACTTACAAAAAATAAAAAGGAACAAAATCAAAGTGAAGAAGGTTTAGAAAAATGATGAATATGTGAGCATCTGTAAATTGTAACTTAACACTCAATTGTTAGGTTTTTATTATTAACACTATGTTTTAGTCAGGATAAATGTTAAATTGCTGTATTAAGGATACTTAAAATTACAGTGCCTTCATTAACAATAGTTTATTTCTCTCTTGTGTAACAGTCTCAAGGTAAGTAGTACAAGTTGTTGGAGTGGCCTGCTCCAGGCCATCATTCAAGTACCTTCTCTCTTAGTTTTCTGCCATCCCTAGGACATTATCTTCTTCTGTGTGAACAAAGCTGGGTTGCAGGCACACTGTGTGCCACTTCCAGGGGAGGGGAAAGTAAAGATCTAAATCAAGTAATGTTTCTTCTAAGCAAATGAGGCCAATGTGGTGCAGATCACTTCAGCTCTCAATTCAGTGAAGAGAAATTAGTTACAAGGCCACACTTACACGGGGCTACCATGTGCCTAGGAAAAAGGGAAGATGGATTTGGCACTGGGGGGAAACTAGCTGTCACCACTTTTATTTTTTAATCATCATAGTGGAAGAAGTTTAGCAGGAAAGGAAACAAGAATATTGCTTAACAGCATTAATAAGATAAATAAGTGCAAATAAGGCTAGAAGTATAGAGAGCAAATGTAAGAATGTAAGAATATAAAATTTGAATTTTTCCCATGAAAAGCACTTAAAGCAATATGAAGATAAAATGAGATAAAGAAAAAGCAACATTAGCTATAGGGATAGAAAACCTGAAGCTTCAAGCCAGATTGGGCCTTTTTATTTCGTGTTGTCTGGCCTTGGGGGTATTACAGTTACAGCCACTGGTTGTAAAGTTCAGAGAATAATGTCCTCCTAGTGTAGTTCTTCTCAAAGCGTGTTCTGCAGAGCACTCATACCTTCTGATTCTTTTTAAAGGATGGGTTCTGTAATCAAATAAGCTTGGAAATCCCTATATTCCATTTCTCTCTTAGAAATTCATATCAAAGACTCCAAGAAGTATTGAGCAAAGAAACCTGTTTAACTTTGATTAAACTAGCATTTCCACCATTTATTTGAGGGGCTATTCTTAAAACGTGAAAATCTATGATAACTAGTGTTCTTAGTAGTATAATTTGGGGAAAGCTCCCTTGATGAGTTGCTTTAGTCACATTCTTTGAGCAGAACCAACTAAACTTTTGAAGTTTGGAGCAATGGAAAACGTGCAGACATTAGTTAACCAGCTAATGGGCTGGTTACAGCTAAAGGGCTGTAAGCAGTAATTGCTATAAAAGGGACAGCCTCCCCTGCCCCCCTAAAAATCTGAAGGTGACCTGTAACTAATACCACTTAACATCCTGGGCCTCTCCCTAACTCTCTGCCTGCTTCTTCATCTCTTTTCCTCTAGCTCCTCTTCTACTGTGTATCTTTCTCTTCCTTATGTGTCTTACCCTTTCTTAAACTTCTTTATATTTTTCCTTTATCCCTTTCATCTATCAGTCCCTACTCATAGTTTCCTCCCACCTTCTGTCTTTTCCTCTACTTCCTTTTTTTTTTTTTTTTTTTTTTTTTTGGGGTACATGGGCCTCTCACTGTTGTGGCCTCTCTCGTTGCGGAGCACAGGCTCCGGACTCGCAGACTCAGCGGCCATGGCTCACGGGCCCAGCCGCTCCGCGGCATGTGGGATCCTCCCGGACCAGGGCACGAACCCGTGTCCCCTAACATCGGCAGGCGGACTCTCAACGACTGCGCCACCAGAGAAGCCCCTCTCCTTCCTTTTTATTTTAATGTGTCTTGTATGCTCTCATTTCTTTTTAACTTATTCTCCTTATTTACCCTCTGCCTCCCTTTTGTCTCTGTTTTCTTCTCTTCCCCTTCAAAACATTCATATGAAGTAAATGTTTAAAACTGGTTTAATTTATGTCCTCCGTTCATAATTTTAGAAGTAAGCAACATGAACATTTTATATTTCTCCTTAAGGTATCTTTTAAGATTCCTAAACTAAATAGGTTTTGTTTTTTGTTTTTTTTAAAAGGACCCTTACTTGATCCCCACTCTCCTTACTGTGGTTAATGATCTTCAATAGAAAAAGATTTTCTGATAGTGGATTGGTGGGTTCATATTGCATAGGTAACAGAGCAGAGATTGTCCACAACTAAGTCCCATAATCATTGCAGTCTACTGAAGTTCCAAGTTATTAGAAACAATAGAAAGCTAGACTATATTTGTATTGAGTAATCTGATAATATACTGTCTTGGTTAAAATTATTTGTGTTTTAAGTAACAGAAATATAACCAAATTAGTTTGGATATAAGACATAAATTATAAATGATACA